GAATAGTGAAGCAGAAGATTTTCTAGAATTAATTGACGATTGCTTTCTTACGCAACACATTAAGGAACCAACACGGGAAAATAATATTTTAGATTTAGTGTTAACTAACAGGGAAACGCAAATTAATGACATCGAAATAGGGAGTGAGCTAGGGAGCAGTGATCACAAAGAAATCAGATTTAGCATAGAATGGAATAGACCAGTAGGAGAAAATTCTGTTAAAGTGCCAGATTTTCGAAAAGCTGATTTTAATAGCCTAAGAAATTTTTTGGGTCAAATTGATTGGAAAGGCTTGGGTATGGGGTGTGGGCCGGTCTTGGAGCGAGACATGAACCCAGCGATAGGTGACTTAAATGGGGATTTCGATGTGGATTCAATATATAACTTATTTAAGAATATTCTAAACAAAGCACAGGAACGTAGTATACCATACAAATTGAATAGATCGTATACTAATGACCCAAAGTGGATAACAAAGAATTTGAAGAACCTTATAGGTAAAAAGAGAGCTTGGTACAAAAGGATTAAAAATGGGGAGGTCACTTTAGAACAGGAATTCGTACAACTGGTTAGAAATGTTAAAAAAGAGATAAGGAAAGCAAAAAGAAACTATGAAGTTCGCATAGCAGGGCAAGCAAAGACAAATCCTAAAGGGTTTTTTCAGTTATATCGTACTAAGACTAGGGAAAGGATAGGTCCATTAAAAACTGAGACAGGTCAAATAACAGATAGTGATGAAGAGATGAGTAGTATTTTTAATAAATATTTTGTATCTGTATTTACTAAAGAGGAACTTAACAATATGCCTTCAGCCGAACAAGTCTATGTGGGTGGGGACGAGGACAGGTTGACGAGTTTAGCAGTTACCAGGGAGGATGTTCTTAAACAAATAGTAAAACTCAAACCAAACAAATCCCCAGGGCCGGATGAAGTGTTTGCTAGGGTGCTTAAAGAATGCAAAGAGGAGCTTTGTGACCCACTGTCAACCATATTTAATAAATCAATAGAGTCAGGCAGAGTGCCAGAGTTTTGGAAAGTTGCTAATGTGATACCAGTTTTTAAGAAAGGAGATAGATCACTTGCGTCTAACTATCGACCAATTAGCCTAACGTCTATTGTGGGAAAGTTACTCGAATCTATAATAGCAAATAAAATTCGTCTTCATCTTGAAAAACATAAATTAATAATTGAGTCGCAACATGGTTTTATAAATGGCCGTTCATGTTTAACAAATTTGTTATCTTTTTATTCTAGCATTGTTGAGGCAGTTGATAGTGGTAAGAATTGCGATGTTGTATACCTTGACTTTAGCAAAGCTTTTGATACAGTGCCACATGAAAGACTGATTAAAAAAATAGAGTCTCATGGTATTGGGGGTGCTATATTAAGCTGGATTAGGGCATGGCTATACCAAAGGAAACAGAGAGTTAGTATAAATGGAATCAAGTCAGAGTGGGAAAATGTTGTAAGTGGAGTGCCTCAAGGCTCTGTCCTGGGACCTCTGTTGTTTATAATATATATAAATGATTTAGATTCAGGTTTGAGTAGCAACATTTGCAAATTTGCCGATGATACGAAAATCGGTAGGGAAATTAATTCGGAGGAGGACTCACTATCACTTCAAGTTGATCTAGATAGGGTTTTGAAATGGTCAAAGGATTGGCAGATGCAGTTTAATGCTGATAAATGTAAAGTTCTGAGGTTAGGTAATGATGATAGAGTTACAAGATACGAGCTAGATGGTGTTGTGATTGCGAAGTCGGATTGCGAAAGGGATCTGGGAGTTATGATTAGTAAGAATTTAAAACAAAAGGATCAATGCATAAATGTTCGTAATAAGGCAAATCGGACACTTGGATTTATTAATCGCAGCGTTAGTAACAAGACACCTGGTGTGGTTCTCAAGCTATATCTTGCTCTAGTTAGGCCCCATTTAGATTATGCAGTTCAGTTTTGGTCGCCATATTATAGAATGGATATAAATTCACTTGAACGTGTCCAGCGTAGGATGACTAAGTTAATTCCCCAAATTAGAAATCTTTCATATGAAGAAAGATTAACAAAGCTTAAGTTGCATTCACTGGAAAGGCGAAGAGTTAGGGGTGACATGATAGAGGTTTACAAGTGGATGAATGGACATAACCGGGGGGATATTAATAGGGTATTAAAAGTATCAACACAGGACAGAACACGAAACAATGGATATAAATTGGATAAGTTTAGATTTAGGAAAGACTTGGGTAAATACTGGTTCAGTAACAGGGTTGTTGATTTGTGGAACCAATTGCCGCGTAACATTGTGGAGGTGGGGTCCCTCGATTGTTTCAAGCACGGGTTGGACAAGTATATGAGTGGGATTGGGTGGTTATAGAATAGGAGCTGCCTCGTATGGGCCAATAGGCCTTCTGCAGTTACCTTTGTTCTTATGTTCTTATGTTCTTATCTACCGGCTATCAAGTCACCCGGTAGCTTGTCCCACACGTCAACTGCCGTGACGGAAATAGAGTATGGTGAGGTTGAGTACCAGGCCAACCAGAGGACTCAAGCATGGTAGGTGGACACGCAGACGACCCACAGTGGGAGAGGCGGGACTCGGGAGCCGAGACTCGGTCCAGGAAACTTCGCTAGGTATGAACACTAAGTCACACAGGTTGTGTCAGGGTTGTAGGGAGGGGTCCCAGCCGCCCCACGACACCCACAACCCCATGCCCCTTACGACCACCACGACCCCATGCCCCTCACGACCCCCACAACCCCATACCCCTCACGACCCCACGACCCCATGCCCCTCACGACCCCACGACCCTATGCCCCTCACGACCCAACGACCCCATGCCCCTCACGACCCCATGCCCCTCACGACCCCCACAACCCCATGCCCCTCACGACCCAACGACCCCAACAACCCCATGCCCCTCACACGACCCCACAACCCCATGCCCCTCACGACCCCACAACCCCATGCCCCTCACGACCCCACGACCTCATGCCCCTCACGACCCCCACAACCCCACAACCCCATACCCCTCACGACCCCATGCCCCTCACGACCCCACGACCCTATGCCCCTCACGACCCCACGACCCCATGCCCCTCACGACCCCACGACCCCACGACCCCATGCCCCTCACGAACCCACGACCCCATGCCCCTCACGACCCCATGCCCCTCACCACCCCAACAACCCCATGCCCCTCACACGACCCCACAACCCCATGCCCCTCACGACCCCACTACCCCATGCCCCTCACGACCCCACGACCCCATACCCCTCACGACCCCCACAACCCCATGCCCCTCACGACCCCACGACCCCATGCCCCTCACGACCCCACGACCCCATGCCCCTCACGACCCCACGCCCCTCACGACCCCAACAACCCCACGTCCATCACGACCCCACGACCCCACAACCCCCATAACCCCATGCCCCTCATGACCCCACAACCCCACGTCCATCAAGACCCCACAACCCCCATAACCCCATGCCCCTCATGACCCCACGACCCCACAACCCCACGTCCCTCACGACCCCACGACCCCACAACCCCATGCCCTCACGACCCCACAACCCCATGCCCCCTCACGACCCCACAACCCTACGCCCCTCACGACCCCACGACCCCACAACCCCACGCCCCTCACGACCCCACGACCCCGACAACCCCATGTCCCTCACGACCCCACGACCCCAACAACCTCACGCCCACCACGACACATGATTAACGAGCCTAACAACATGGGGCCTCTAGACTTGTCGCGCCCACGCCCACCTGCTGACGACGTCTACACCCACACGCCCACCTGCTGACGACGTCTACACCCACACGCCCACCTGCTGACGACGTCTACACCCACACGCCCACCTGCTGACGGCGTCTACACCCACACGCCCACCTGCTGACGGCCCCTACACCCACACGCCCACCTGCTGACGGTCCCTACACCCACACGCCCACCTGCTGACGGCCCCTACACCCACACGCCCACCTGCTGACGGCGTCTGCACCCACACGCCCACCTGCTGACGGCTCATACACCCACACGCCCACCTGCTGACGGTGTCTGCACCCACACGCCCACTTGCTGACGGCGCCTACACCCACACGCCCACCTGCTGACGGTCCCTACACCCACACGCCCACCTGCTGACGGTCCCTACACCCACACGCCCACCTGCTGACGGTCCCTACACCCACACGCCCACCTGCTGACGGCCCCTACACCTACACACCCACCTGCTGACGGCGCCTACACCCACACGCCCACCTGCTGACGGCGCCAACACCCACACGCCCACCTGCTGACGGCGCCTACACCCACACGCCCACCTGCTGACGGCGCCTACACCCACACGCCCACCTGCTGACGGCGCCTACACCCACACGCCCACCTGCTGACGGCGCCTACACCCACAAACCCACCTGCTGACGGCCCCTACACCCACACGCCCACCTGCTGACGGCCCCTACACCCACACACCCACCCACTGAAGGCGCCTACACCCACACGCCCACCCGCTGACGGCGCCTACACCCACACGCCCACCCGCTGACGGCGCCTACACCCACACACACACCCGCTGACGGCGCCTACACCCACACGCCCACCCGCTGACGGCGCCTGCACCCACACGCCCACCTGCTGACGGCGCCTACACCCACACGCCCACCCGCTGACGGCGCCTACACCCACACGCCCACCCGCTGACGGCGCCTACACCCACACACCCACCCGCTGACGGCGCCTACACCCACACGCCCACCCGCTGACGGCGCCTACACCCACACACCCACCCGCTGAAGGCGCCTACACCCACACGCCCACCTGCTGACGGCGCCTACACCCACACGCCCACCAATAAGTGTGTGCGGAGATAAGACTGGACGTGTGTAAGGAGCGGAGTGCCGCAGGGACCAGCGCTAGGGGCCCGCGCTGTTTCTGGCGCTCCCCTAACATTCAGCAAAATGCAAAGATACGAGGTCGTAGAGGCAGCATACGAGATCGTAGAGACAGCATACGAGGTCATAGAGACAGCATATGAGGTCGTAGAGGCAGCATACGAGGTCGTAGAAGTAGCATACGAGGTCGTATAGGCAGCATACGAGGTCGTAGAAGCAGCATACGAGGTCGTATAGGCAGCATACGAGGTCGTAGAAGCAGCATACGAGATCGTAGAGACAGCATACGAGGTCATAGAGACAGCATATGAGGTCGTAGAGGCAGCATACGAGGTCGTAGAAGCAGCATACGAGGTCGTATAGGCAGCATACGAGGTCGTAGAAGCAGCATACGAGGTCGTATAGGCAGCATACGAGGTCGTAGAAGCAGCATACGAGATCGTAGAGACAGCATACGAGGTCATAGAGACAGCATATGAGGTCGTAGAGGCAGCATACGAGGTCGTAGAAGCAGCATACGAGGTCGTATAGGCAGCATACGAGGTCGTAGAAGCAGCATACGAGGTCGTATAGGCAGCATACGAGGTCGTAGAAGCAGCATACGAGGTCGTAGAAGCAGCATACGAGGTCGTATAGGCAGCATACGAGGTCGTAGAAGCAGCATACGAGGTCGTAGAAGCAGCATACGAGGTCGTAGAAGCAGCATATGAGGTCGTAGAGGCAGCATACGAGGTCGTAGAGGCAGCATACGAGGTCGTAGAGACAGCATACGAGGTCGTAGAGACAGCATACGAGGTCGTAGAGACAGCATACGAGGTCGTAGAAGCAACATACGAGGTCGTAGAGGCTTCACGAGATGTTAGGAAAAAAAAATGTAAGTCTATAAACAATAGAGAACAGCTGTCAACCGCGGTATGAACTGGACCAATACGTCCCTCGTGCCATACAGAAGATTTTCACACAACGTATGTCAGACCAGTGTCACGAGTATGCAGCCACGGCATGGAATCGTTTCTACTCTATATCAAAACATTTGAATCTTTCCAACCACACACGTATCCTCACCACAACTACCACCCTAACCCCCCCCCCATAACCAGGAACCACAACTACTACCCCCCCCCACCCCCTTTGCCTTCCCTATCCCTATTTCCCCATTCTCCCCTTAGGTCCTCTTCTCTTCCCCCCTCTGGCTTACCAAATTCAATAACAACAGACACAAATGGTGTGAACTGATACAAAGCGGAATTATATGGTCAGTCTCGTTATATTTTCCCGAAGCCATGATAGAGGTGCCTATAATTGCATATATTGCACGAACATACGACTGGAAATTGCAGGTTGGTGCAAAGGCGAGTGACGGAGAAGCGGGTCGAGCTGCATATAGCGGCCATCCTCGCTAATGCGAACACTTCCAGCGGCTACGTTTTGTGAGAGTTGTAATATCGGGATGTTGGAGGTGTGGGGGAGGTGTGGGGGAGGTGTGGGGGAGGTGTGGGGGAGGTGTGTGGGGAGGTGTGGGGGAGGTGTGTGGGAGAGGAGGGGGGGGGTAAGGTACTAAAATATATTAGGAGTCGGTATTGGACCCCATACTATCCATCTCCAACTGAATGGATGTGGGGTCCACTACCACCTATGGGATGGGTACGGGGTCCATTACCGCCTAAGGGATGGGTATGGGGTCCACTACCGCCTAAGGGATGGGGATGGGGTCCACTACCGCCTAAGGGATGGGGATGGGGTCCACTACCGCCTATGGGATGGGGATGGGGTCCACTACCGCCTATGGGATGGGTATGGGGTCCACTACCCCCTAAGGGATGGGTATGGGGTCCACTACAGCCTAAGGGATGGGGATGGGGTCCACTTCCGCCTATGGGATGGGTATGGGGTCCACTACCGCCTAAGGGATGGGTATAGGGTCCACTACCGCCTAAGGGATGGGTATGGGGTCCACTACCGCCAATAGGATGGGTATGGGGTCCACCACCGCCCACGGGACGGGCTTAGGGTGCATAATATATGAACAAAATACAAAATCACAGATTTTTCATATATTTCCCTATTCGTGTTTCTTCTCATTTGGTGGGTTTTGTCTCTCTCTCTCTCTCTCTCTCTCTCTCTCTCTCTCTCTCTCTCTCTCTCTCTCTCTCTCTCTCTCTCTCTCTCTCTCTCTCTCTCTCTCTCTCTCTCTCTCAGATGCTCACTGGGGTTGAGTTCCATCAACGCATAAACATATTTTGTTGCATATCTCTGGACTTTTCCTAACTTCAGTTCATGTTCCCTTAAATGATAATAACAGTGTGGAGCTGCATACTCAAGGAGTAGTCTGTTGTAGGTTGTATAGCGTGGTTAGAAGAAATCATTTTTTGTTCCTGAAGGCTACTCGAACTGCTTCGCTACAGACGGGATTTTATTTGTTTAAATGTTTTTCTTCAAGTGTTATATTTTGGGGATTGTTTATGGCCTTAAATCCGTAAGTTTTCTTAGGGAAACTGTCTTCCTGTTAAAGTGTATGGTGGGAAGGCTGTGAACAAGTGACGGTCTGGAAGCGCAAGGTGTTGACCCCTTAGGGAGCCACACCTCAACTTCCCCCTTCCCTCACTCCCCTTCCCTTCCCTTCTCTCTCCCCCTTCCCTTCTCTCTCCCCCTTCCCTCCTCTCCCTTCCCCTCCCCTCTTTCTATCCTTCTCAATTCCCCAGACCCCCACCCCCTGCATCCCTTCATTTTTTTTTTGAGTCCACGAAGCTACTCACCTCCATCTTGTTTTTTTTATATGCATCTTCAGTATCTTCTTTTTGCCTCTTCCATGTCCGGTTTTTACCTCTTCCACCTCTTCCATCCTTGCCTCATCTGACTCATCTCTTTAACCCTATTTCAGTCCCTTAAAACTACTCATCCTAATATTTTCCAGCTCCTTTTCACCTTCTCTTCGATCCCCTTCCACCCATAGCCTTCTCTCCCCCCCCTCCCCCTCCTCTCTGCTGCTTGCCCCCCTCCTCTGCCCCCCTCCTCTGCCCCCCTCCCAGACCCCCACACCCCCTGCGACCCCCACACCCTCAGGGTCTACGCCATTTACGTCAGCGTTATGACCGGGTATTCAGGGCTATGTAACGCTTCGATACGCTCGCATTGGTTCGAATCTCTTACACTCGTGTAAAGGAAGAAATGTATATATGTTTATCACTCACAATGTTCAGCAATATGCTTATTGTCGGTGATGTGTCTATATGTATGTATATATATATAATATATACATATATATCAACACGTTGTAGTGAGCGGGATGAGGATAGCTTGAGCTACCCCATCCCTTTATGTGTAATTTATACCTCAATAAAGTTGCTTCAATTTCTTAGACTTTTCCTCTGGCTCTCTCCACAGCCTCTAGCATCCACTATAACCTCCTCCACAGACTATAGTGGCTATAATAGCTATAATAACTGTAATTCAGTGGCTATAATAGCTACCTATAGAGCCCCACCTTAGTGTCTCCAGAGCCTACACTAGGCAGGTGGTATAGTTTTACCAGTAACTCTACTCCCCGTCACTAAAAAGAAGTGAAGGGGAGAATCGACCGCGTGAATAGGTCGATAAAAGTACAATCAATGATTGTCGTTTTATGTCTTGATACGACTTGGTAATGGTCCAGGACGGACCGAAACGTTGTCGTTTCTCAACTTCTGATGAGTTGATCATCATATCTTCAGCCACGTTATTGTGACCCATCGTTTGTATACTAGAATCCCTTCTGATCCTATGAATGTCTTAGACTTTTTTCTTAGACTTAGATTATACTTTAGACTGAGTCTTAGACCATCTTGAGATTTTTTTCCTATTCAGAAGCATCAAGGACAGTCACTATAACTGTTCTCTACTAATATTTTCTGGCTCAGTTGTTAAATAAACCCATTTTTGTCCTCCAAATTGAGTGGTCTTGCTTTTCAATTCAGCAATATCAATTGCTTCTCAAAATTATCATTATCAATCCACTGCAACATTTCCAACTTCAGCTTGTTTAATGTTATTATATCGACATGTGATTTTTTTCTGTTTTATTTTAGTGATTTGAACTTATTAAATTTTTAAAGAAATTGGTTCAGTAGATGAATCATTGTTGCTCGATAAATGTATTTGAAGATTCATAATTGTTTTCACTAGAATTTCAACATCTGGCATGATTTTTTTTTGTTTTTGTTTGGGAAAGATTTAAAATTATAATTTACAACATCACGTTTACACGTCGTTTACAACATAACGTTTACAAATTATCTGTTTGATTTCAAAGACATTTATGTTATCAAACATAACATCAAGTGTAATTTGATGTTAGTGTCGTTTAATTGAGAAGATTTTTTTTTTAATCTACAAAGCCACATTACGTTACATAATTCTTAACAAGAAAATATGCAATGTTGAGTGTTTATCCAAACACTCAACAATGTGCTTAAAAACAGAATATTTTCTAAGCCAACGAACACTGCTGAACATTAGTAGTAACGTATATACCAAATTCAACTCCGTTAATCATGTTTTTTTTTCAAATCACGCGCACAAATAAAATTAATTACAATTTTCGTCCATTGCAAGTTTCATAAGTCCCCCTCGGCCTCCTTGTGGACAATGCAACAAAACCATAGCAATGGATATCAGATAGATTTTACAAATACATTTACAAAACCTTTTGTCTCATTACTAACCAAGCTGGGTGGCACAGCATCGACTATCCTAGAAAAGATTTTTTTGTTGAAAGCTTAAGCTGCAGACTGGACAGTTGCGTACTCTACATATTTCCGCCCCCTGTAAGCGCTATGTAGCGCTACCAACTTCCAAGTTCTTATATTGCGTCCCCGCTACACATTCTAGCGATACTGACTGTCTTAGTCAATGATGCAAGAGTGCTATCATCTAGACCATGTAAAGTAACATTATATTATCCGATATCTTGTCGTAGCTGTTTGATTCCATCTTTCATATCCGTCTTGTCCTATGTTTCTGCTCACTGGTAAAACCTTAACGTCCTCAGTAATTTAGTAGTTTTTCTGGAAATCCGCGACAAAGTGTCACACACACTCTCGCCACGACACAATAATATACTCCCCCATCACTGAGTGCCTTTTCCACAGTGAGCCATGATCTTAGACATCTGTTGACCAGACCACACACTAGAAGGTGAAGGGACGACGACGTTTCGGTCCGTCCTGAACCATTCTCAAGTCGATTGTGACTTGAGAAAAGAGAAAAGCACAATCGACTTGAGAATGGTCCAGGACGGACCGAAACGTCGTCTTCCCTTCACCTTCTAGTGTGTGGTCTGGTCAACATAATTTAGCCAAGTTATTGTGACTCATCGCCTGCACTTAGACATCTGATTCACAATGAGTCCATTTAAACAAAGAATTATAGAGTCTGGTATTACACACGTATTCACAACATTCACGAAATTACAATTCTTAAGGATACTAAGCACTCAGGCGGTGATAAACACCTCTCACATCTTGGCTTTGCTAGATCTGTAATGGGAAGCTATGGAAACAGCAATAAATTGAATCTTACCTCAAAATTGGTTGATTTCTGTCCCTCGATGACATTTACACGCCTACCTGTAAGGGCGCGACAGTTATTTATATGAACGAAGGTTATGCCTTTATATATTTCAGTGCTCATATATAACAAATATAATACCACATGAATGATCACATGTTTATTCATATATATATATATATATATATATATATATATATATATATATATATATATATATATATATATATATATATATATATATACATATATATAATCATGTGTGCTGTTAGCTGGTTAGTAAGATGAATCAGTTGGTCATTCATTATAATTGTATAATTATGAACCAGGACGATAATAATTCATAGTTTGCCGAGCATGGAATAATTTGTGTTATCTTCCTGACGCCTCTTAAGTGATGTGATTGGTGACCCTGTAGACCTGATGGTGACCCTGTAGACCTGATGGTGACCCCTGTAGACCTGATGGTGACCCCTGTAGACCTGATGGTGACCCTGTAGACCTGATGGTGACCCCTGTAGACCTGATGGTGACCCCTGTAGACCTGATGGTGACCCCTGTAGACCTGATAGTGACCCCTGTAGACCTGATGGTGACCCCTGTAGACCTGATGGTGACCCTGTCGACCTGATGGTGACCCTGTAGACCTGATGGTGACCCTATAGACCTGATGGTGACCCTGTAGACCTGATGGTGACCTTGTAGACCTGATGGTGACCCCTGTAGACCTGATGGTGACCCCTGTAGACCTGATGGTAACCCTGAAGACCTGATGGTGACCCTGTAGACCTGATGGTGACCCTGTAGACCTGATGGTGACCCCTGTAGACCTGATGGTGACCCTGTAGACCTGATGGTGACCCTGTAGACCTGATGGTGACCCTCTATAGACCTGATGGTGACCCTGTAGACCTGATGGTGACCCTGTAGACCTGATGGTGACCCTGTAGACCTGATGGTGACCCTGTAGACCTGATAGTGACCCCTGTAGACCTGATGGTGACCCTGTAGACCTGATGGTGACCCTGTAGACCTGATGGTGACCCTGTAGACCCGATGGTGACCCTGTAGACCTGATGGTGACCCCTGTAGACCTGATGGTGACCCCTGTAGACCTGATGGTGACCCTGTAGACCTGATGGTGACCCTGTAGACCTGATGGTGACCCTGTAGACCTGATGGTGACCCTGTAGACCTGATGGTGACCCTGTAGACCTGATGGTGATTATTGTTTCATGACCAAAACATTATCAAACTCCTTTTTGATTGCCACACTTATTACAGCTTATTAATAAAAAACGTTTTGAGTGGTAAATCCAATGCCTGGGGCGCTAGCTCCTGGCCCCCGCCTCTCACACACCGATTACCTATTGCAATGGCTTACGATCCTCTTTCAGTGTACTTTGTGTTCGCACCGGGGTTGAATTCGCGTTTCCGGGGACATGATGCCTGTATCTAGGCTCATCTAGAGCCTCCCTAGGCCTACTTCTGACCTTTGCCAGGATGCTGCCCACAATAGTTGTATGACTCGCAAGTACTTATTTTACTGCTAGATGAATAGTGGCGACACACACACACACACACACACACACACACACACACACACACACACACACACACACACACACACACAATAGGTGTGTGTGTGTGTGTGTGTGTGTGTGCTGGGATATGTCGGGTTAACTAACAAGATCCGATCCAATAAGCTTATTGTGTTGAGACGGCGACCGTCTTCAATGCAGGAGCCTCCGGATGCCAGACAGGACAGCCTGATGGATCGCGCTGCAGGAGAAGGCCAACTATGATGCATCGGCGTCACACAACAGTGGCGTCGGGTGGCAGGCCTGAGCCTCGCCTCGCCCTGTGTGCTACCTGCCTCTACACCCCCTTGTTGTCTGCTGAACAGTGGCTTAGGTCGTGTTGTTGGTGGGGGTGGTGATGGTGATGGTGACGGGAGGGGGTTGATGGTGGTGGTGGTGGTGGTGGTGGTGGTGGGGGTGGTGATAATGGTGGTGGTGGCAGGGTGGTGGTGGCAGGGTGGTGGTGGCAGGGTGGTGGTGGCAGGGGTGGTGGTGGCAGGGGTGGTGGTGGCAGGGTGGTGGTGGCAGGGTGATGGTGGCAGGGTGGTGATAGCAGGGTGGTGATGGCAGGGGTGGTGGTGGCAGAGTTGGTGGCAGGGGCGGGGGTGGAAGGGCGGCAGGCTCAACAAGGATAGGGA